CATGCCTTGGGGAGGGTACACTGTCAGATGGACAGATACACAATAGATGGGTTGATGATGTACAGACATACTGCCTGGGGGACAGTCAACATAGCTGGCCACAGCTTCTCCCCAACTCCCTGCCCAGGTGGGCTACGAACTAAAGGATGAGATTGAGCGCAAGTTTGACAAGTGGCAGGAGCCACCACCAGTGAAGCAGGTGAAGCCCCTGCCTGCACCCCTTGATGGGCAGCGGAAGAAGCGAGGGGGCCGAAGGTAAGGAGCTCTGGTGGGGCTAGAAGCTGGGAATGGGGGTAAGGAGGAGGCTGGTACCTTCCCAGCCAACTCCCTATATCCTATTGGCACCCACCTTCCCCAGGTACCGCAAGATGAAGGAGCGGCTAGGACTGACGGAGATCCGGAAGCAGGCCAACCGCATGAGCTTTGGAGAGGTCAGACTTGCTCCACAGTAGCAGTGGGACCTTGAGGTTTCTCTCTGCAGATCCTGCTGCCATCCTTTCTTTCCACCCTGTAATCCCAGAGCAGATCTGGGACTACCCCAACCTCCTCCCTCCTGCCTCTCTCTCCTCTCAAAACACCCTTCCCCATCATGATCTTTGCAGCTCTGAGCTGGCTGCCTGTTCACCCAGCTCCCCATATGCTGCACCTATATCTGGCCATCATCCAGGTGGTCCTGAGAGAATCCACTTAGGTGCCATCTCAGTAGTGCAGCCCATCCCAATTCTTGGTGACTTAATCTGAACTTAGGGTGAAATGGCCACTCTCTGTTCAGGTCAGGAACCCGTTCTTCACAGGGTTCCCAGCTATACCCAAGCAGAGTTAGGCTGGGCTCTTTCTCAGTCCTCCCAACTGAGTGGGCACCCGTGAGACTGGCTGATTGGAGACTCCCTGGGTTTTCATTGGACTGTCTTAGGGAACGGGCTGAATGTAGCCAGCTTCTTAACAGCAGGCCACTCTCATCTCACCAGATTGAGGAGGATGCCTATCAAGAAGATCTGGGCTTTAGCCTGGGCCACTTGGGCAAGTCAGGCAGTGGGCGTGTACGGCAAACACAGGTGAATGAGGCCACCAAGGCCAGAATCTCCAAGACACTACAGGTACGGACTGGGCCCATGGGAATGGGAGGCAAGTAGGACATGGAGGTCAGTGAGCCTGGATCAAGCCTCCCCCTTTCCCTACAGCGAACCTTACAGAAACAGAGTGTGGTGTATGGCGGGAAGTCTACCATCCGTGACCGATCCTCGGGGACTGCCTCTAGTGTGGCTTTCACTCCACTCCAGGTACCACACCTTCTCCTACCAGGCATGCAGTAGGGTTGTTGTGGAGGCCTTGTTGACCTAACACATGAAGAGCTTAGGAATCCAGGGCCACACAGTAAGTGCAAGTGGTTGGGAGTGACAGCTGTGACAAGCTCAGACCAACTTTGAACTGGTCTAGGACTCTGTCTGTGTGATCCAGATACCGTGAGCATCCTAGTCTTTGCTTTGAGATAGCCCCAGTAGTCAGGGGAACCTCAAGGCGGGCTTGAGTATCACCCCAGCCCAGTGGCATTGAACAGTGTGAAGCAGAATGGCCTCAGGTTACTCATGACAGAGGTAGGCAAATGTGTCCCACAATGTCACAAGCTTGCTAGAGTACCTACTGATCACCAGCCTACCATCTTCTAGGCTTCAGGCACAGTGACAAGAGAGACAAGCCTTAGCCAGGTGTGGTAGCACACACCTTTAATCCTAGCACTCGGGAAGCAGAGGCAGGCGGATCTGAGTTCAAAGCCAGCCTAGTCTACAAACCTTGTCTCAAAAAACCGAAGGAAAAAAAAAAGAGAGAGAGAGAGAGAGAGACAAGGCTTGCCTTTTGGGGAGGTCGTGGGTGGGAGAGGACAGATGAATGCGTCAAGTACATACTGTATTAGAAGGTTGTGGGTGCCAGAGAGAAGCAGGAGTGAAAGGTGATGGGGCCAGAGAAGGCCCAGCAAGAAGACTGGAAACGTTCAGTGTAGTGCCAGCATTATCATTGTGATGGTGTGGGATTTGCAGGAAACTGGCTGGTTATATCCCTCTGGGGCTCAGTTTCTTCATCCAGAATCAGACAGGAGTGGTGTTTTTTTGTTTTGTTTTGTTTTTTCGAGACAGGGTTTCTCTGTGTCATTTTTGCTGCCTGTCCTGGATCTCACTCTGTAGCCCAGGCTGGCCTTGAACTCACAGAGATCTACCCGGCTCTGCCTCCTGAGTGCTGGGATTAAAGGCGTGCGCCACCACCGCCTGGCAGGAGTGGTATTTTTAGCATCATCTGAGGAAGTTAACAATCCTGATATCCAGGCCCTGCCCCTAGACCCACTGGGATAAAATCTTCCAAACTGGGGGAGACTCCAGGGACTGTAAACAGTTCCGTGTCCACTAGAGTGTTTGGGGACTGGGACATGTCTGGTTCTCACACAGAAGGTGGCCTGAGCCTCCCCACCTTACCTGTCACCCTCTCCCTTCCCAAACCAGGGTCTGGAGATTGTGAACCCACAAGCAGCTGAGAAGAAGGTGGCAGAGGCCAACCAGAAGTATTTCTCCAGCATGGCTGAGTTCCTCAAGGTCAAGGGTGAGAAAAGTGGCACCATGTCCACCTGAAGAGGCCCACACCCCAGGTGGCCACCCACTGGAAGGACATGGAGGACTGGAACTTGTGAAATGATGGACATCTAGCCAGGAAGTTGTGGTGGCAGCCTGCCCTGCTGTCCTTGGCCTAAGACCACAGCATCTAAGGAAAATGGTGAAGGGCCTTGGCCTCCCTACCCCATCACCCAGACTGCTGCTGCCCCAAATGGGCAGAGAAGGTCTTCCTCACACTCATCTTTTTTACTTACATGGGGAAAGGAAGTGCTTTTTTAGAAAGAGTACAATTAAATGCACAGTGTCAGGCTCTGACCAGAGGGTGTGATTATTTGTGAAAGACCCAGAGGAGTCAGAGCTGTGGGGTTTCCAGTCAAGTTAGCATTGACCCGGCTCTCTTCTGCTCTTGTCCTGGAATCGAAAAGGAGAAAAGCTCTGTCCATTTCTGACATCACCACCCACCCCCTGAGAACCTCAGCATCATGGCGGAATAGTATGGCCACAACAAAGCTCCAGAGCCCAACAAAGGCCCATAGGATTATTGTTGTCCCTCAGGCTAGAAGCCTCCTTGGTCCAAGATCCACATCTGCACTGTGAGGCACCTAAGAAGCCTGGGAAGTGTCTGCAGAAGGCACCCAGCACTGGGCTTATTGGGGAGCCAGTTGTTTTAATCCATGTTTGCTGAGGGGGCCATGCCTGAGTCCTCAACAAGGGTGAGGCAGATGGGTACCCTGCTGTGGGAGGCACCAATGCCAGGTAAGCAAAAGACGCACACACTACCCAGGCTGACTTGAGAACCAATGCTCTGCCAAAGGAAAAAGTAGATCAGGGTGGACCATCTTTGGTGTGTTATGAATCTATGGTTCTGCAGAAGATAAGAGTCATTGCTGGACTCCATTTTCTCAGCTTGAGCTTAACTCTGAGGGTCTGAGCATGGACCCAGCTGGTGAGGTCAGGACTTCTCTTACTCATAATTTTGGCAGGTCTGTCTTGGGCTTCCTGGTCCGTTCCTCCCTCTGGGCCTTCCCCTGTCTCCCCACTCTTTATCTTGACCCCAGTCCCTGTGGGTCTGTGTGGAAAGCACTTTGTACATCACCCTCTTTAGAATCCCTGCTCTGTCCCTGCCTGACTTGCATCTGACATGGCCAGTGGTGAGTGAAATGGAATATGAAGGTGCAAGTCTTGGAATTCAAGATGCTGCAGATTGCCTTGAGGGCTCTCTAAGACATGGTTGCTAGTTCTAGAGTTTGATCCAGTTTTGCTAAGATAGAGCTCAAAAACATGTATTTCACCCTGTAATCCTAACTATCCAGGGGACCTGAGGCAGGCAGGTTCAAAGTTCAAAGCTAACTGGGCTACACAGTGAATTCAAGGGCAGGCTGGGCTGTAGGAAAAAGTCTGTGTCCAAAAGAGAAAAAAAAAATTAAGCTAGAGAGAGGCCTGGAGAGAGAGTACTGTTGGTAAAGTGCTTTTCATAAAAGCCTAAGAACCTTGGGAGGCAGAGGCAGGTGGATCTCTGTGAGTCCAAGGTCAGCCTGGTCTACAGAGCAAATTACAGGACAGCCAGAGCTACACAGAGAAACCCTGTCTTGAAAAAAAAGTAACAAAAACAGCCTAAGAACCTGAGTTCAATACTCAGCACCCCATATAAAAGGCCAAGAATGGCAGCACGTGTTTGCCATCCCAGTGCTAAGTAGGTGGAGACAAGTTGATCACTAGGGCATGCTACCAGCCATCAGTGAGTCCCAGGTCCTAATGAGTAGCCTATCTGATAAAAATAAAAATAAAAAACTACTGAGGTTGATTTGGCCTTCACAAGCACATATGTGCAACTACATACAATATATTCATACGTACACACACAATTTGAGGAAAGAGAGTTGGCTGGAGAGATTTCTCAGTGGTTAAGAATACTGGCTGTTCTTCCAGAGGACCTGGGTTTGATTCCCAGCACCCATATGGCAGCCCACAATGGTCTATAACTCTAGTCCCAGAAGATATGACATCCTTTCTTAGTCTCCCTGGGCACCAGGCACATATGTTTTGCACAGACATTCATGTAGGCTAAACACCCATACATACAAAAAAATGTCTCTAAAGGGCAGGAATGCAGCGGTTCACCACAGGGTACTTGCCTAGCTGTGTCCAGGCCCTGCCTCAAAATAGTTTTAAGAGGGCTGCCTTGCAGGACAGGCTCCAAAGCAACACAGAGAAACCCTGTCTCAGAAAAAAACAACAAAAAAGGACTGCTGCATGTGGTGGTACACACCTTTAATCCCAAGACTCTTAGGCACAAACCAGATTTATGTGAGTTGGAGGTCAGCCTAGTCTACATAGTTCCAAGGCCTACATAATAAGATCCTTAAAAAAGGGCAGAAGCTGGGACATGGTGGTACATACCTGTAATCCCAGCATTTGGGAAATGGAAGCAGGAAGACCAGGAGTTCAAGGTCGTCCTCTGCTACAAAGTTAGTTCAAGTCCAGCCTGTCCTATATGAAACCCTGCCAAAAAAAGAGGTGAGAGACAATTGGGGGAATAGCTCAATAGTAGGGTATTTTCCTGTCCTGTGAAGCCCTGGGTTCAAATATCCCTGTGATGAAAAAGAAAAGTGCATTTCCATGTGTTATTTTTGATGCTAGTTAAAGGACCATGCTTTGAGGAGAGTTTTTGGTGAGTGGTCTTTACATTAGCTGCACATTGGAATTATCTCAGGGAAAGAATGGTAGCCTGTTCCTGCCTCCAGAGGTTGATGTAATTGTTCTAGCATGAGCCTGAGTATTTGGATCCCCTACCCCTCACCCCAACTTCCCAGGTGATTCTAAAGTGCAGCTAAGCCTGAGAGTCACCACTCTATGTTCTTGGGGCCATCAGCATGCCCTGGGAGCTTGTTAGAAGTAGAATTGGGGACCACTTAGATAAGCTGCATCTTAACAAACACACAGATTCCTGATAAGGCTAGAAGCAGGTCCACATTCAGGGCCCACGTGGAATAGCAAAGCTCTGCATGAATAACAAACTCAAAAGAGTATGGGGGTGTTAGGAAAAATCTGGACAAATGCAGCTTCCCAGGTTTCACTTTCTTAAGTCTATGTGACCCTAAAACTATGCATTTTTTAAAAAAGTATGTGAATGTGTTAGTATAAGTGCACCAGCAGCGGCCAGATGAGGGAGTCAGATATCCTGGAAGTGGTGTTAACAGGCATGTGAGTCACCATGTGGATGCTGGGAACAGAATCCCAAGTCCTCTGCAGGAAAGTGTTATCTTGACTGCCGAGCCATCTCTCCAACAGAATATGCCTTTTTATAAGCCATTTCTTCCTTTCTTGCTTCATACCATTCTGTTGGGGTGCAGTGCACATCCACGTTCTCTTCAAGTTTGGATTTATCTTAATTTCCTTCACCTAGGCAGGCAGAGATAGATCTGGCTTCCCAATTCATGAAAACGTGGTGCTCAAGTTTTCAACGCAAGTCATTGCTGGGACTATTCATCTACTAATTCAGCAAAAGGCTATGGAGTGCGTTATGAGTGCTAAACACTGAGAAATTCAGAGAGGGAGACCCAAGTAAGTATTTTTAAAATAAAAGGGCAGGGTCTGAACAAAATTAAAGAGGCTCACCTAAGCATTCTGCAAGGGTGGTCGGGGAAGTTTACTCTCTAAGAAGCATAACAGAGCTCTAATGAGTAGCCATGACAGATGTAATCAAGTTAGGGTAAAGCGCAGCTTCTTCTGCAGCTTCTACAGCTACAGAATCCTTGCAACACCAAAGAAACGGAGGTAGAGGAGAGTGCCCCACAGTCTGCTTTCTCACTTAACTGGAGGCAGGACAGCCCCGTGCTCAGTCACTTCTGCTATGCATGGTGCTGGTGACTTGTCTCTGATTCCGCCTTTCCTTCTTCCATCCAGAGAGCACTGAGTTTTAGAGATATGCCAAGCAGAGGCACTTGGGGAACTATTACAAGGATCAGGAAACAACCTGGACGGCAGGAATAGGGAGGGATGCTCTGAGAACCACACCTGTCGGCCGCTCACGCAGCACCCTCCGCTAACAACTACCCTATTGGCCAAACTGAAGAGCCTGCCCAGGGAAATAGGAGGGGCCTTCTTGTCCAGCCCCTCCCCTTAGGCCTGGCGGCTCTTTTGATTGGCAGACAACTTGGGCCTAATGCCCCACCCCACACTCCACCCCCAGTCACCTGTCTGTCTCCCACTAGGTAAGCTGCCTTTAACACCCACTCTCCATGCCTTCCGTCGTTTTCCCCTACCCACTTCCATGACCAACCAATGAATTCGGGGCGGAATATACCTTGCAACCAATTAGAGCTGCTTTCAAACTTGACGGACGACTTCCCGCCCCTCATCCTGACTCCTCCCCGCAGCCAATTGATTTAGGAGAAGGGGGCGGACACATCCAATCAGCACGACACAGGCCTCGTGATTGACATCCAGGCCCTCGCGCTGGCGTGTTGTGCTCTGAGGCGGGGAGGAGGAGGAGGAGCCGGGAAGAAAAACCTGAGCCAATCCAAGCAAGCTGAGCGGGAGGCCAATCGAACGCCGCGCCCTGCAGAGATCAGCCAATCCTAGGGAGGGGGCCGGCCGTATCCTCCCTATGAACCAATGGGACGCGCCTGACGGCGCAGAGCGACGTGCTGCGGGAGCAATGACGGACCTATATTCGGGGCTCGGGGGCGGGCCGGCGCCAGAGACGAGAAGAGAGGAGGGGAGGCCTCCTCCGTCGCCGCCATCTTGGACCGGGCCCGTTCAGCTTCCGTGGAGCCGTCGGCAGCCGCCGCCGGGCCTTCCCTTGAGCCCCGAATCCCCTACTCGGTCGTCTAGAACAACCCCGGGCCCACTTCCTCTATCAACAACCCAACCCCACTTCCGGCTTTTGCGCCCTCTTATCGCGATAGCGCCCGGGCTTGGGGCGCGAGGAAAGAGGAAAAAAAAAAAAAAAAAAAAAAAAGGCGGCTGGCGGGCGCTCACCTCAGTCTCCCCCTCCTCGCCTGTCGCGATACGCTCCGCAGCGGCGGCGCCAGCTCCTGCGGTGAGAGCGTCAGGCTCGACTGGGCCGGACCCCTTCCCCTCTTCCCTCAGCGTCGTCGGCTGCCTTCCCGCTCCGCGACCCCTCCGCCTGCCGCGACACGGCCTCCGCGCCCGCCGGGCCCTGGCCCTGCCCTGGCCGCGCGCTCAGGCCTGGCTTCGGCTCGGGCGGGCGGGGACCCTCCACTCTCAGCCCTCCCGCGTCCCGATTCCCGCGTGGCAGCGCTCCGGCCCCGGGTGCGAGGTGCCCGCCCTCCTCCGCGTCTTGCCGGGCTTGGAGCGATGGGCGCGCAGCGGGCCGGGGAGGGGGCTTTCTGCTGTGGGTGTGGGGGGCACTCCTGCAGTCATGCCCTCCCCGGGAGCTCCCTTGGGGAGCCTGGCCTCTGCACCCGAAAGCTCCAGCTTGTTGGTGTCTTGATAGGGGGAAGCCTCTTTGGAAGAGATGGATCTGGTGGAGGAAAAGTCCCCAAGACCCGAGGGTGCAGCTCCCGTTGTGAGTTGGAGCCTAAGCCAAAGTTTCCACCTTGTCCTCACAGCTCTGGCAGTAAAGTCTCCTAGATGTCCCATTCCACCAGTCTTCTTTTAAGGAAGCATGGCTTTTTTTTTTTTTTTTTTTTTAAACACTCCCTCCCCAGACCATGGATTCAGGACCGTCCACCGTATTGCTCACTTCCTGGCTTCAGGTCTTTTACATCTTTGAGGTAGGGTATCAGCGGCCTCTAGCTTTGGGGATGCAAGCTCCACTAAGGTGCAAGCTGTCTGCCTCCCTGGATGTGGCTTCCTAGTGATGTCAAGTCTACTGGTATTGCTGTGTATGGTGGGAGCTGTTTAGCTCTCCTGGGTCTGTGTCGGTGGATTGTGAGCTCCCAGGCTCTGTTATTGGTATGCTACTCTTGGGGACGGTTGAAGCACCTCTTCTAAACAGCTGCATCTCCGTTCTGTGACTGTCATCCTCGGATTCGATCTCTGCCCTTTTGGCAAGGGTTTCCTCACTGTCTTCACCTTCTCCCCTCCATCATATGGGTTGTTATCCCCCTGCACTTCCTTTCTCATTGACCCACCTGTGTGTATGTGTAATCTCCCGTAATTGAAATCCACTGCGTGAAAGCATTGTGCTGGGCTAGAGTGGTCCTTCTTACCCAGCTGGTACCCTGTAGGCAAGCATTCCTCGCCTAAGTCTCCTGCTGCGTGTGCAAGGGGTGGCCTTTCTCCCTGCATTTGTGTTGTATTTGGGGGGTAGTGTCACCTGCAAGGTAAAGTTCCTTCCTTCTTTGGTATTGGCATCACCCTCTCTCCTGCATGTGAGATGACTACACCCCCGTGTACTCACTGTGAGGCTAGGTACTCTTGAGTGTGAGTACCCCTGGCTAGTGTGATTTACTCCTCTGTGCTTTTTCTGTGGGTCTAAAGTGAAGGTTCCTTGTGTGGTGTCTGGGACTTGGGAGAGAGACCACTGTGGTCACGTTGCTTGGGACTAAAGATTCTTAGGGATGACTTTTCACGGTGTAGGTTCCTCATCCCCTACCTTTGGTGTTGGGCCTCTCCAAGGGCTACTTTATTCACCTAATAGAACCCCCATGTGGGGGTGCCAGGGTCCTCCACTGGGTTCAAGTTCCACCTCCAGTGCTGCTTGCCACTACTCCTGGCTTTAGTGTGAGCCCTCTTATCTGCAGGGTGCCTTGTGCTGTGCTCCAGGATGCTTGTGTGGCCGCTCAACAGCACCAGCCTTCAGGATTAAGGTTGTGTCCCTCATCAGGTCTCTGTATGACGATCTTGGAACCTGTGATGAAAAGTTCTGGAGATTGCTTCGTTGTTGTTTCCTGTTGTGAGTCCTGATTTGAGGATGTGCCCACATAACCTTGGACAGAGAAAGGAGCCTCCATCATGGGCCAAGAGGCCTAGCTTCCTCCATGCTGTCCAAACCCCCATCTCATTTGTGTATATATATGTTCTGTGTGAAGGTGCTTGCCTACCTCAAAAGGGCCCTGTGCTGATGGCCTCCTAGAGAGGGTCTTGGAAAATGGGGTAGGCAGTCTTTTGTGGTGGCACCTCTGGTTTGAGGCTCCAGCACTAGCTTCCTTTCTGGCTTCTCAGGTGTGTGCACCCTCTTGGTGTGCAGCGGTTTTTGTTGTTGTTTGTTTATTTTGTGGAGAGAAGGTATTGCCTCCACTCTAGCTGAGGCTCCAGCCTCTAGAGCAGAAATTCCTGGGTGTGTGGGTTTTGTCCTGCTCTGCGGAGCAGCAGCCTTTTGCCAGTCAGATACTGTCTTCACTTACCACAGCTGTGCCCGCCCATCTTGATGGCTCAAGTATTACACCTGTTCTTTTTTTTCATTACTTTTTAAAATTATTTTTATTCTATGTGTATTTTGCCTCCCTGCATGTAAGTGCACTGTGTTGTGCTGTACCTGAGAAGGCTATTGGTTCCCCTGGAACTGGAGTTACAGGTAATTGTGAGCAGCTATGTGGGTGCTGGGAACTGAACCTGGACTTTGAAAGAGCAACAAGTGACATTTCCTATCTGAGACATCTCCAGCTCTTAATTTTTTTCTTATTTTGTATATTTTTAAAGTTGATTTTCTGTATGTGCATGCATGCCAAGACAAATGTGGGGTTCAGAAAAAACCTTCGAGAAGTTGATTCTTTGCTTTCACTATTTGGGACTCAGGGGTTGAATCCAGATCACCAGTACCTTTATCATAGCAAGTACCTCTATCTACTCAGCCATCTCACAGGCCCTTAATTATTTTTTATTACTTTATTTAGTTGATTTTTTTTTTTTTTTTGAGACACTTTCTATGTAGTCTGGGATGGCCTGCAACTCACTATGTAGACCAGGCTGACCTTAAGATCTGTCTGCCTCTGTCTCCCAAGGGTTGGGATTGAAGGGCCAGCCCTGGCCCAACATTTCATTTGTTTGTCTGGTGTGTGTATGTGCTCTTTGGAATGTATACATGCCAGCACACATGTGAAAGCTGGAGGACACCTTTTGAGAGTTGGGTCTCTTTCTGCTGTGTGAACCCTGGAGACTGAAGGTAGGTTGCCAGGCTTGGTCTGTGCTGACCCTACTCACTGGCCCTCGTTGCCCCTGCTTTTTGACACCTTGTCTCTGGCTCTTTAGGATTTCTGTCATGTTTTGGTGCCACAGTACTGTATTCTCACTGTCAGGCATATCACCTCCTCCCCGTCCCAACCACTTCACTGTGGAATTAGGGTAGGGCCTCACCTCCTTAAGATTGGAGTGCCTTGTCTGGGTTGCAGTGCCTGTCCAGAACCCTCCTGTAGGCTCTTGGGACAGAGTGGGTAGTGTAAGCTCTTGTTTAACATTCCTTCCTTCCCTGGTGTAAAAAGGGGCTCTTCTGTGCTGATGGATGGTAGAGCCAAGACTCATTCCTGGGCAAGATCCTGAACACCTCTGCTGATCCCAGGCAAGATCCTTGGATCAGAGGTGCCTGTGCCTGTACTTCAGTCTCCTGAGTCCTTTTGCTGGTTGCTTAATCTTCCTGAAGATTCCTGGTGTGTGGTGTGTCAGCCAATCCTTAGATGAGAGTGCTGCTTTTTTTTTTTTTTTTTTTTTTTTAAATAGGTCCTTTAAGTTCCTAGAGCCTCAGGTGCCACCCATACCTACCTCCCCACAGAGTGGGACTCTGTAGAGTTAATTTTGAAAATTCCTTTCAGAAGAGGTGCCAACTCCATCCTCTCTGGGCCTCTTTTTCTAAATCGTGCTCCAAAATTCAAAGTCTCATGCAGTGGTTGCTAGTCACCTGTGATTAGTAGAATTGAAAAAAACTGAGCCAGGAATGGCAGCGCCCTCCTCTAACCTCAGCATTTGGGAGGTCAAGGCAGGAATGTGGTTTCAAAGCCAGCCTGAGCTGTATTCTAAGATCCTGTTCTTGGAAAGGGTACGATTCTGTTTTTCTGTTGCGCTGGTTGTAGTACATTAGGCTGACAGTGCACTTTGAAACATTTCCCACATTGCACCTTCTGTTAAAACTCTTCTCTGGGTATTCCTTTCCTTGTTAGTAAGGACCCTCATTATAGCTGCCTGCCAGGATGAAACTCTTGGTCCTGGGAGTAGGGCTGTTTCTGCTAAGAGCTACTTTGGGGCACCCATGTCCTGTATAGTTCTCAGAGCCTTGCTTTTTAGTACACCCCTAGGGAGACAGCTTCTGCTGGCAGCTCAGAAATCCTCTTCCCATGACCCTCCCTCTCCAGGTTGCCGTTTCAGAGTCAAGTTTTGTTGTGTGGACTTCCTTGGCTATAACCCTCCCCTCCTCAGTCCTTTGTCCTCAGGCCCCTCTGAGTTAAGTTCGCCTTTCTTCAGAATAAAAGTAGGTGCCCCTCTGTTCATTTTGGTTTCTGCCCCGATGGGTTCATGTTTCTGAGTCTAAATTGCCAGTCTATCTGATACGGAATTCCTCCATGTGTGCAGATCTGCTCTCTCACAGCTAAGGTACCTTTTACTCTCTTATCTTTCTAGATTTCTATCTTCTCCCAGCCCTCTTGAGGTGCTGCTTCCTGCTCCCAAGCTTCTATAACCGTTTTTAGTTTCAAGCTCTTCTGGTCAGGAGCATTATCTG